GGCTGGGGCTGCTTTCTTCTCTTTGAAGGTGGCCGTGTGACAGTTGGTGCATCGTGTGGGCTGAGGTGGCCTTTCTAACCCTTTCCTCTGTGACTCTGGTGTTGGGTCCGAGGGAGACTGGTGCTTCCGTTCCTGGCTAGTGGTGTTAGCCGGTTTCGGGGCATTGGTGTTGTGGGCTGTGATTTGGTTTTCTTAGGCTTATGCGAAGGGGAGGGTCTGCTCAACGGTTGCGTCCGAGACCTAGATTTCCGCTTCAGATAGGCCTTTTCGGCAGTTTCGGTGGTTTCTCGGGATGCGGATGTTTCCTATAGGTGGACTGTTCGTTCGGTAGTTTTGCTGTGGAAGGGCTTTATATTATTAGTAGTTATCTTTGTTTCCGTAGTTTTGTTTTGGTTATTTGTCGGGGTAGGGCTGTCTGTGTTTTTTTAGTTTGTGTTGTTTTCGTTTGTGTTGTCTGTGTCTGTATTTGTCTCGTGTTTTGTTATTGTGTTTTGGTCTGGGCCATTTGACCTCAGTTAGCCCGAGTGTCACCTTTATTACCTTGTTGGGGTCCGACACTCGGTATTACCCTGTTGGGGTCATTGTATTGTTTGTTGTGTTTTGTAGTGTTGTTATTATCCCTTTGGGGTAGTGGTCGAGTAGTTGGTCTGTTTAGTGCGAGTTTTTATTCTAGCGTTGCTAGCGGGACTCTAGGCGGGCTTCTGACCTGTCCTCCTATTTTATTCTCCCGTTGGGAGCTTTGTTTTTTTTATTCGCACTTTTGTGCGCTTTTTGATTAATAATAGTACCTTTATTGTTTCGGGAAAAAAAAAATTGTAAATTTGGTCTATAAAAAATTGCAAGAAAAATCATTAATCATTATATGCATACAAATAACTCACAATACCTTATTTATATTTGTGCATTTGAACAGATCGAATACTAATCTATATAAAAGTGAAAGGAGAAAAATATTTTTCCTCAAAAATACATTTCACGCATGGAATTTTTCATGCATAACTAATACTCCACTTGTGGTGTTAAAAATGATATGGATAAACTATAATTTAAGTAAACAAAAAAATTTTATTAGAAATTTGTATAGAGATAATTAAAAGTAGGATAATTTTTTGTGTATTACGTCTTAAAATATTGCTATATAACATTAGTAGATTAACCATCACAAATAATAGTAGGTCTTTTGTCAGAACGGTCTAACCATTAAGTCGATACACTCTTTTCAGATAGATACACACTTTTTTTTTTTTTTTAACCAACGATAGAACAACTCAAATAAAGGAATCAAATACAAAGTTCAGTACAATCTGAGACAACACCACACGGGGAAAACACATTAATTAGGAGGACCATTTAACAAGTGACCTAGAACACGACCAACGCCTAACCGGCTAAAGGCAGGAACAGACATTCCGAGACCTTTTGCTAGCAAGCCTCCACCAACAAGACTACACAACACCAAAACCAGCCTACACCTTACACAACCAACCAATAACCTCAACAAAAAAAAGTAATAAACCACAAAATAAAAAGGAAAACACACAAGAAAGAAAACAAACTAAGCTAACCAAAACAAAACTAACTACCCCTGGTCAAAGACAAGAACTCCTGCCAGTCATTACAGGCTCTCGTCACCACCACTGCTTCAGGCATCCACACATTCTCAAATAGTCATAGGATACAAGATCTCCACAACCACCATAAGATATAGGTTGACAATTGAATAAGGGCTTCTGAGATCTCAGAGTTATTAAGTGTACATACATACCACCACCAGTGTTTGAATAAGATTTTCTGAGGCTGCAATCCATTCCAGTCCAAACGAGATATCTGCCACACCCTTCTAGCCCAACAACACTTGAAGAACAAATGCTTAATATACTCCCCTTTCTCTCCACACATCTTACAAATTACATCAACAGTCACTCATTTCTTTGCAATGTTAACACTAACTGGTAGCACCCCAGAAAAGCACTTCCAGATGAAGTGTTCCAATTTTTCTTAATTTGACTCTCAATTTTCAGCTTCTTCCTCTCACCTTTTTATCTGCCAGAGCTGACTGACTTCCCTTTGCTACATCCAATCTAGCCATTTTGATCTCTGTTAGGAACTAGCCATAGAGAATAACCTTTTTTCCTCCAATAATCATCTCCATCTATTAGGTAGATCAGACCTAAGAGACTTGATGGCTAAAATGGTTTCACTGTTTCTCTCACTGAAAGTTCTCTTTACCAGATTGACATTCCAAGCACCACCATTTTAACTCACAAAATCCTTACCCAAAGGATAGAGTCTCTCCATTCCTCAAGAGGTTGTGGACTGCTATGACCTAGAAGTGGCACCCAGCTGTGATCTTTGATTCTTGTTTGTTCACTCATCACTTCCCTCCTTAACCTTATAGCTAGCAATGGAATTAAGGTCACCCAATTGTTCCACACCCATGAAGTGTGGCCTTCTGTTGTACCTCAAATAAAGAAGAATTATAGAAATACCTAGACTTCATAATTTGGCTTACAAGAATTTGGGGATGTATAGAGATTCTATACAGCTGCTTCTATATAAGGGCTTCATTGAACAATTAGAAGTCTTGAAATCCCAGACCCACCTCTATCTTTGGGTTGAGATAACATACTCCATTTTTTCCAGTGGATGCCTTTCTCTTGAGTTCCCCCCATTGCTCCACTAGAAATGGGTTGTTAATCTGCTCAATTCATTACAGATACCCTTAGGAAGTTTAAAACATGACATGGTAAAAACTGTTGGTTTGTATACTAAAATCTCAGCTTTTTGTTAACATTATTCCAGTTTGAATGATAATTCATGTTTAATTAAGGAAGTTCTATGTACTGTTGTTTTGCACTTAGATAAATGGTTCATCACAGATTGATAGAAGATCATTTATCGGTCACTTGCAAAACATAAAGAAATTGGTTCACAACCTAGATGAAAATTGAACAAGTCATCAGAATGGTTGTAGTGTGAATGGTACAGTCGATCTTGACTGACTAGTTTCACTAGTACACATTGGTGTATTGAAGGGATCCTAGAGAGGAGCAGTTCGTTTTATATTGATTGGCGTAAACGAACTAAGCTTTGGCTAATTACTGCATTCTCTTAATACGTAAGATATAACAGATACATGTATGTAGTAGTTACTGCTTTGATCCAACATAGTGAGATCTCAGAGTTATTAAGTGTACATACATACCACCACCAGTGTTTGAATAAGATTTTCTGAGGCTGCAATCCATTCCAGTCCAAACGAGATATCTGCCACACCCTTCTAGCCCAACAACACTTGAAGAACAAATGCTTAATATACTCCCCTTTCTCTCCACACATCTTACAAATTACATCAACAGTCACTCATTTCTTTGCAATGTTAACACTAACTGGTAGCACCCCAGAAAAGCACTTCCAGATGAAGTGTTCCAATTTTTCTTAATTTGACTCTCAATTTTCAGCTTCTTCCTCTCACCTTTTTATCTGCCAGAGCTGACTGACTTCCCTTTGCTACATCCAATCTAGCCATTTTGATCTCTGTTAGGAACTAGCCATAGAGAATAACCTTTTTTCCTCCAATAATCATCTCCATCTATTAGGTAGATCAGACCTAAGAGACTTGATGGCTAAAATGGTTTCACTGTTTCTCTCACTGAAAGTTCTCTTTACCAGATTGACATTCCAAGCACCACCATTTTAACTCACAAAATCCTTACCCAAAGGATAGAGTCTCTCCATTCCTCAAGAGGTTGTGGACTGCTATGACCTAGAAGTGGCACCCAGCTGTGATCTTTGATTCTTGTTTGTTCACTCATCACTTCCCTCCTTAACCTTATAGCTAGCAATGGAATTAAGGTCACCCAATTGTTCCACACCCATGAAGTGTGGCCTTCTGTTGTACCTCAAATAAAGAAGAATTATAGAAATACCTAGACTTCATAATTTGGCTTACAAGAATTTGGGGATGTATAGAGATTCTATACAGCTGCTTCTATATAAGGGCTTCATTGAACAATTAGAAGTCTTGAAATCCCAGACCCACCTCTATCTTTGGGTTGAGATAACATACTCCATTTTTTCCAGTGGATGCCTTTCTCTTGAGTTCCCCCCATTGCTCCACTAGAAATGGGTTGTTAATCTGCTCAATTCATTACAGATACCCTTAGGAAGTTTAAAACATGACATGGTAAAAACTGTTGGTTTGTATACTAAAATCTCGGCTTTTTGTTAACATTATTCCAGTTTGAATGATAATTCATGTTTAATTAAGGAAGTTCTATGTACTGTTGTTTTGCACTTAGATAAATGGTTCATCACAGATTGATAGAAGATCATTTATCGGTCACTTGCAAAACATAAAGAAATTGGTTCACAACCTAGATGAAAATTGAACAAGTCATCAGAATGGTTGTAGTGTGAATGGTACAGTCGATCTTGACTGACTAGTTTCACTAGTACACATTGGTGTATTGAAGGGATCCTAGAGAGGAGCAGTTCGTTTTATATTGATTGGCGTAAACGAACTAAGCTTTGGCTAATTACTGCATTCTCTTAATACGTAAGATATAACAGATACATGTATGTAGTAGTTACTGCTTTGATCCAACATAGTGAGATTTATTGTACATGGACCAATAACTGTCTGTTTTGGGTAGTGATTTTTACATGACATGGTATACGGTCACTGTGTACTTCACAAAGTTGAGGTTTGATGATGTCCCCGAAGTGAGCTCAGAAGGAGTTATGTTAAACTTGGCCAGTGGAATTTATTCCGACATAATAATAATTTGTTGACTGGTGTTAGCTTTGGTTCAAAAAGTTGATTAATTTAATTGTAAGTAATTAAATTAATTGACGGACATTATATCTTAAACATGAGAGGTAAATCGAGTAATTTAGAATTGGAGCTCAAATCGTAATTTGGAAATTAAATTTGGAGTTTTTAGTAATACTACTTTAGTAGAATGACTGTATTATTCATATTTGAACTAAGTGAATATAGGAAGCCCAAATTAATGCCTCCTTAGGTCCCTATTGTAGCCTATAAATATATCACATCTCTTAGGATTGGGAGAAGAAAATCCCATGTCTTTTACACGTTTTAGCCGCTCGCATCGATTTCTTTCTTCACATCCAATGAACAATTAGTTAGGATAAATATTGATAAAGGAAACAGATCATACTTACTCTGTTTAACAATGTGTCATTTTAGTTTTAAAAAATAGAAATACAAATTTTATTAATAGTTCTATATATATCAAGTTTATTTTATTTTATTTTTTTAAATCTATATGTACCAATTTTATATTATCTTATTTTTACTTTGTCTTTAAAAAGATAAAGTCTTAAAGAATATAAAAAGTTTCATTAAAATATCATATAAATTGTAGCTTTAAAAATGTTAAGAGAAGAATCTTGTCTACATATGAATTATCAAAAGATCAATTTTCATGAATTTAATAGAAGAATTTTGATTCATAAGACTGAAACTCTTTAAGTTAAAGAGATAACAGAGACCAACATCACATACTCAAATAAATTTAATAATTTTACAAATATCGAACATCATAAATTAATGTGAGATAATATTTAATAACTTTTTAGGTATGTTTTTTAATAATAATTTAGAAAATTTTAGATGATTTCACAAATTTTTTTAGAAAGTATAGAACATTTATAGTATTTTACATGTTAAATATTAATTTATATATTTTTACGTATGTTATATAACATTTTAGATGCTGTTAATATTTTATATAGACATGTTTACGATGTTTTCAAACGTTATATTTCATAAAACATTTTCAAATTAACGTATTATGTTACATATTGACCCCATATTTTTAATTTATAAATATTATTTATCACACATCGGAGTATCAACTTATTCGTACACTTTTATGCATATTTATTCATTTTCATATTTATCTAACTATCATTTAATTTATGGTATATAATAATTTCATATCGTGTCGTCGGTCCAAATAAAATTAAATCAATTAATGATGTTGAATCCAACACAAAAATAATAAGACTTTACATTTTTCTAAATATGTTCGTCATTTTTCATCTTTATCCAACTTACAAATTTTGATGTGAATCTTAAATATCTCATATTTATTAAATATATACATATATAAATATAAATATAAATATGTTTTTGAAAAGCATGACGATTCATATAATTAATTTTATTATATGTCATGTGTTAGATGTTATTTTAATGCGAATCTTAAATATCTCACATTTATTAAATATATACATATATATTTTAAAATCACGACGATTCATATAATTAATTTTAGGCAAAATTGCGGCTAATATCATGACCTTTATCGAGATTGCAAATTAATTACAACCTTTTAACTTTTGCATAATATATCACTCCCTTCAATTTTTTGAAAAACGATACACGGTTTTCATCTACTTTCCCAACTCGTCTGACGTGGTACTCAAAAATGCCAACGCACCTGCTGATTTGTATTTAACAGACAATTTTTTCTTTTTTGGCAAAATTGCGGCTAATATCATAACCTTTATCGAGATTACAACTTAATCACAACCTTTTAACTTTTTGCATAATATATCACGCCATTCAATTCTCTGCAAAACGATACACGGGTTTCATCTGCTACCCCAACTCGTCTGACGTGGCACTCAAAATGCTAACGCGCCTGCTGATGTGTATTTAACAGATGATTTTTTTTTTTTTTTTTTTTTTTTTTTTTCCATCTCATCCCTGGACGAGATGAGGGAGAGATTTTGGAAACCTTGGGGGATATATAGGCTTGGGCTGGAGAGAAAATAGATTATTGAGACTTTTATCTTTTATCTTTTCATCTCAAAACTTATTCTCTCACCAACTTTCACTTGGTTTTTTTTTTGGATTTTGCTTGGATTCGAGTTTTGGAGATTGTGGCACTCCATAAGGAACACGATTTGGTTTGTATTTCGATTTCATTCTCGACTTGGATTAATAGTAATTTCCTTTCATTTGATTATGGATGTGATTTATTCTGTTGAATCTGTTGTTGGGATTGATATCAATACGTGTGGCTAAATCGCTGCGTTAGGGATAGGGGATATTTGTTTTGGTTCGATTAAGATTCATGTGTTCGAGTTGTGCTTAATCTAGGGTTAGATGTTTTATCATCATTCTAATCTAGTCAATTCGTAGAACCGGAAGGGGAGAAATTGATTGATCTCGGCTCGTTTAGAATAAGCTTGTTCGTTAATGTATTGTCTACGTGTTAATTGTTCGATAATTAATCGTTCATGTTTGTTCTCTTGTTACGAAGAGTTATTGAGAACAAACCTCTAAACAAGTATGTTATTTGATCTCTTAACCAAGCGGTTGCGTGCTAATTGATTGCTTGAGAACCATAAACCAATATCTCCGAATCCCTAACTCACCAGTCATTATTTGAACTCCATTTGGAATTTGAAGTGTGTCTTGCTTTATTTTTAAAATTTGTAGTTGGTAATCAAAACCAAAAACAATTGAATTATGGTGTTTAGGCTTGGCTTTCTCTTTTCGTGTGATTGAATACACGTGCAAAGTAATCCGGCTAACCTTCCTTGAGAGACAACCCGATGTTTGAATACACGTGCAACACTATGTATCGTTTTGCAAAGAATTGAAGGGCGTGATATATTATGCAAAAAGTTAAAAGGTTGTGATTAATTTGCAATCTCTATAAAGGTCATGATATTAGCCGCAATTTTGCCAAAAACAATTGTCTGTTAAATACACATCAGCAGGTGCATTAGCATTTTTGAGTGTCACGTCATACGAGTTGGGGCAGTAGATGAAAACCGTGTATCGTTTTGCAAAGAATTGAAGGGCGTGATATATTATGCAAAAGTTAAAAGGTTGTGATTAATTTGCAATCTCGATAAAGGTCATGGTATTAGCCGCAATTTTGCCTTAATTTTATCATACATCATGTGTTAGATGTTATTGGTTTGGTTAGGACACTCATTCTATTCTAATAAATAAAATATAATTTTTCATATTTTGTATTTCTTTTCTTGCAATAATGAGATGTTAAATATCAATAATTATGTTTCAAATAAAGTTTTAAAAATGTTTTAAGTAACAAGGCCAACCGTGTACTAGTTTAGGATATAACGTTTATTAATTAATTTAATTACTACAATTAGTCAATTAATTTAAGTACTACAATTTGTGGATTTTTTTAGAACAAATGGCTAGAAGAAAAAAGGGTGGTGTATAGTGCGGTTAGGGAGTGGGGGGAATTTCTTGATTCTGGTCGGAGTGCTGCAGAAGAAGCCTTTTGAAGCTTCTAGGAAAGCATGTTGGGTCTTCAGTAGAAGTTCGTCTAACCTCTTGTTTCAGTGTTGCCTGCTTTTTGGTTTGTTGCTGCTTGCCTTGGCTCAGGTCCAAATGGGAGTTTGTAGCTTTTGGTTTTTTGCTTTTGTGAGTTTTGCTGTAGTTTTCTTGTGGCTTTTGTAAGGTTTTGCCTTCCTTTTGTGAGGCTTGTTTTGTTAGTGCTAAGCCTGCTTGTGAGTTTTCTGTTTTTTGCTCTTCAGGTTGGAGTTTTGCCTTGAGGTTGTTCCCTTTGTTAAATTATGTAATCCCAAAGGGTGTACTTGTACTGTATGTTTCTCTTTTGGATGAAATTGAACTTCTTTCATAGTTGAAAAAAAGAAAAATTCAGCAAATCCAATGAAAATCACAATAACTTATATCCAACCACGCCTTTATGGTTACTTACTAAAAATATGAGTTGTATTACTAATTTGTCATTAAAAATATGTCAAAGTAGAAATTTTTAAGAAATTTCATTTTTTAACAAAATTATTCATCCTTTTATAATAGTATATATAATAGTATAGATTATGTAATCTCCAAGAGTGTACTTGTACCGAACTGTTTCCATTTGGCTAAAATTAAACTTCTTTCATCATCGTTGGAAAAAATAAACAAACAAATCCAATGAAAATCAAAATAACTTATATCCAAGTGTTACTTGCTAAAAATATTTAATGGCAAAATGAAATGTAGCACAGCACGTGTCATTAACTAGTACATACAAAATTGTGTATTTTTTAGCTAAAAGATGAAAATTATGTTTTTGGGAGTCCGTATATATTTCCTCTGGTGTCATCTTTGTCCAAATCTCACCTTTTACATATATATTACTCTTGAACTCTTGGCTGTTGTTGGTTCCAATCGCCAAGTAGACATAGAACCAACCAAGCAAGAAAATGGACACATGAAAATGGAACTCCATGCAATCAATTGGTTTCGAAATTCTTAATTCTTCAAACTGCCAAACCAGAGATGAACCTCAGTTGGTTGTGTTCTGTATTTCGTTAGTTCATTTACTGTTCTCCTGGCATTACAAAGTTGATACATCCCCTTTCCTCTACAAGAATTGTCTCAAATCTATGGACAGTAAAAACTCAAAGCCCTCGTCAACTCGAGACGCTACACTAGTTTTACTCACGACTGATGTTTCGAATTTTCATTGCTTGCACATGCACTCAGGCACAGGGTAAGCCAACACATCTCTGTCCAACGTCTCTCCCCTCAACTCAGGCTGCCCCAGAGAGTATTTATGCAGCCTCCTCATAGTCCTCCCAAATTCTTCTTCCGTTATTGACACGTTCTCCAGCAAAGGGACCATCATTCTCTTGTTCGGCTTTATGTACTTTCTGTGCCCCACATATGCACGATGACCCTGCACCAGTAAATTTGGTCATTTTTTTTAATTATTATTATTATTTTTTTAATATTATGCTATATTGATTACCTTCATAGCTCGGGCCATATTGCCGCCGTGAGAAGGTACGAAAACATCACTGCTCAACGACACAATGTAGTCAATGGCAGCAAGAATAGAAGGTTTGTTCATGTATGGAGTGAGCTCTCCCTCTCTTGCCAAACTCTGCTTCGTGAATATATTCGGGAACTCATGCACGAGCGGCTTTAGGGCTCGGTTGCCGCCGAATGGTTTTCCTCCGGCCAAATATATACGGGCATCTCTAGGTGCTCCTAAGCCCTTTAGAAGCCTGCACTTTCAAGAATTTACCACTCGTGTGTTTACGAGATTGAAATTTTTAGCTTAAATAATACTACCTCCTATTATTTTTAAATGTCATTTTGGCTTTACCGGCTCCATTAACCAAATAAATGACGTTTTGGATCTTTTGTACATATTTTTCTATTATTACCTTCATTTAGTTAATTAATAAATACACTACGCCTTTTTATATTCGTTCTTCATCTTTCCTCAAAACATCCATCTCTATCTTCACTAAATAGGGTTATTATTGGCAAAAAGAAGATTCTTAGTGCAACTTGACAAAACAACACTTATTATGAATAGGAGAGAGTATATTTTTTAAAAATATATATATTACCTTGCTACTTCAAGTGCATTGAGAGGGCAGAATCCTGAAAGACGTTGAGCAGAGTTGGATAGATTCACCCTATCAGTTAAAAAGCCAGGCTTAGATTCCCGATCTTTGGTTATGATCTCGTCATATTCAGGTCCTAAGCCAGTGAGACATCCAGAATGGACCCACACGTCTTTCTCTATCCTTAGATGTATGGCTATGTAAGGGCCTTCGATCCACATTCTTCGAGCAATCTTACTGCCGAGTTCATGAATTGGGGAGGTGAATCTCAGAGCATGAAATGCTACCTGTGTCAAAGGGAAAATAAATAAGGAAAAAGGGAATCAGTTGTTCAATCTTAGCATGGTAGAAAAGAGATTGAGCAAATATGTGTTTTTAATTTATTATTACCTTGCAGCGGAGCTTCTGAAGATCGGAGGGAAGATTCCTGGAGAGTCTATATTCTATTCCTTTCAATATGAGAAGGCCTTCTTCATTTAGCTACATGAACAACGAATGTAAATAATGAAGAATAATAAATCAGGACTTATCTATCAGAATGGTGTATCCATATTTCGTGCTGTATAGAACCTCAAAAGACGAGAAATTCTCCTAATACAGTCGCTATAAAAAGTAAAAACCAGTAAGGAAGCATATTCGCTAATACACGCTTTTACGCATCTTACTTGGTGAAGGAACTTTGCACGAAGCCACGTGGGCGAGACCTGAGGTGGCATTTGATTCACGATTGACTGCTGTGTCACCAAGTGAGTAGCAGGAAGGGAAGACACGATTCGAACGTCAGATTGCAAAGTCCTTTTGAAATGTTCCAGATCGAATATATCTGAAAACTCACTGCAGAAATTAAAACAACAAGGCATGATATGATAAAGCCCCTGATCTTCTTGCAGCATGATTACATGTACCAAGAACCAAATAGAGTTTCCAGCCAATACACAAATAAATATACCAGGTGATTCCAAGTGATAAAAGAGAAATTTTTCATTCATACATAGCACATGATAGAAGAGTATATAATATTTGCCAATTTCATCTTCAATTCTATTGATAAACATATAATGATCCCACTGAAGCTAAATGCCTAAATCCATAAGCTGAAACATTCCCCCAAAAACATATCCATAAATCAAGCAAAACAAGTCTAAAAATTATGAGAAAAAATCAAGAACAGCAACATGCACATATTATCCCATCTGATCGAGCTTTCATCGCCCCAAATGCCATTGGAAATAAAAAAGCAGGAAAAAAACGCCCATTCATCTAAAACCCACCTCTCATCTCCCCAAACACTATGAACCTCTAAAACCGGCACCACCAAAGCCGCCTCCAGAATCCTTGCCAGAACAACCGCATCAGCAATCTGATTCCTCTGCTGATTCAACCCGCCGTCAACAACTACCACCAGGAATTTCCTCTTCTCCTTAGAAATCTTACCTGATACCTTCCGGTAGTCGAGCCCAAAACCCAAGCACGGCCGATAACCCTCGTCATCGGGCTGCCGCCAGAAATCCCTTTCCACAAGAGAAAGATTAGGGTTTACGGGCACCCCGTGCGTGGGCAGAGGCACCATGGCGCTGCTGGGCCCTTCCTGTTTCGGCAAATCACTAAAAATCAATGAAAGAGACGCCAACGATGAGGAAGGCGAAAACGCCGAGCAAGGGACGGAGTGCTGAGAAATCGGGTAGAAAGTGAAAGCGTAAATCGCGAAGAATGTGCAGAGGATGAAGACGGAGAGAAAGAGGATAAGAGTGAGGTGTGAAGAAGACGATGGCCGGTTTCTGGCATTCGTATTCGGGGACGAGAAAGGAGAAGTTGCGAGGAACTGCGTGAAAAGTGATGGGTTAACGAGAGGAATGCGCCATGGGTTTTTTGCAGCTTTCGCCATGAGGATGAGCTGCATGAGCTCCGGAGACTGTTTTCTGACTGATGATTATGTGGGCTGGGCCCCTGTTTCCCTTTTTATTATGCTTTTTTTCTTCCCATTAAATTAATTAATGGATATATATGAAGGTCGGTTTTGCAGCGTAACCGAATCAGTTGCACAGGCAACTAAGATTCAAGATATCAAATGCTATTCACCGTTCCCTTTTACTAGTCACTGTCCTTCATTTATTTTTTTGCCCTTAACTCTTTTTTGAATTTTATCTCTCTAAACTTTCTCTCTCTCTAAATTTCTGAACTTCAACGAACGATTCAAGCATAAAAAAAAAATTCAAAAAAATGTCGAAAAAATTCTACGGCATCGGCAAAGGACTCTTCTCCAACAAGATAATTTTTTTTTTCTGGCCGGAAAAATTTTTAAATTTTTTTTTTTTGAAGCTGGCCGGCCGTCCGGCCGTCGGTTCCGGACGGCCGACGTCCGTCCGGTCGTCGGTTCCGGACGGACCAAAAACCGTCCGGTCGGCCAAACCGGACGGTTCTCTTGTTATCCGGTTCCGGGCGTCCGGAACCGCCGGCCGGTCGGTCGCCGGCCAGACAGTTTTCTATTTTTTTTAATAATTATAATAAGAATAAATAATTGTTGACACCCGAGTTCGAGGGCCGAACCGGAGACCCGGTCCACNTTGTAATGATAATTATAAATTAGTATCAATTATAATAATTGAACTAAAAAATTATAATAACTATTATAAATCTCAACAATTATAATTATAATAATAATTAATAAAATTTACATATGAAAAGAAAAATGAATTATAATCTATTTTAATAGTTATTAGAATAATCATTATATATGGAAAAATTTAATAATTATATTTCTGATTCAGGGTGTTGGCAGACCTGGACAATCTAATGTCAGGGACGACGACGAGGCGTACTATGACTATTATGATGGTTCTGGCACCCGACACACTAGAAGTCGGGGTGTCAATGCGTCCGTTCGTCGGGAGAGGGACACGGAAAGGCAGGCGTTGATCGATGAGGCTCGGAGGTTACAACTTCGTCAGACTAGCCAGAGTTCCCGCCCCCCCGCACCAGTGCCAACTGTCCGCAGGGATATCATTTTGAGGGCCAGCCAGATAGTTCGCGACCCCACGGAGTCCTCCCGTACGGCGAACATGGATTTTATTATCCTGGCCAGGCAGGCAGTTCGATGCCCCCGGCACTAGGACCGTACGATCAGCCGAGAGGTGCTTTTTCCCGCTACGCAGGGAAGTCGATACCTCCCCGCGCACGCGTACCATTACCTTATGGTCAGCAGGGGTATGCTGATGATGAGTCGTACGGCGAGAGGGAGCAGGGTCCAGAGGACTATGACTCGGACGACTCTTCAGATGATCAGGACCACGCACAGCCTACGGGTCCTAACCACCCTCGTCCTCCTGTACAGCCAGTTCGTCCGGTACAGCCGGTTCTACAGCATGTTCGTCCGGTACATGCTGTTCATCCCACACAGCCTGCTCCTCAACGACATGCTGGGGGCGTTTTGGCCCATCTGCATCCTCATCAGGTAAATAATTTACGTATTTATTGTTGTTTAACATAAATTATTTTCACTTAATCATAAAAATTATCGGTACTGTTAGAAAAGTATTATCGGCCTGCTCCTCAACTACGGTATAATTATTTTGTAATTTAGTAAGTTGAATAAATTGTAATTAATTATAAATTCAAAAAATAATATTAATAATTATAAATTATATATGCTTATAATAATAACGTAAAATGTAAAATGTAACGTAACTAATGAAATATGTTTTATTAAATATATTTTATTTAATGCATCTGCCAACAACTCAATATATACAGATATGTTGTATTTTAATGCAGGTACTAGCAAACGAGCTAGGACCGATGATGGTGCACCCTGGATCGTTAAAGGTCCAGTGCCCGGTGGGCCCATTGATGGGAGTGTCATCCCTAGCTTTCTTGGGCACGTCGCCTCCCGCATGTGGAGTGGGAATTTGAGGGGGCCGCTGAAATGCCACAACAGACTGCGAGCGATCGAGAATCTGAAGGCTTGGCGTGAAGAGATGTCTTCCGATGCGGGAGCTCTTCTCGACCAGACCGGGCTGTCACATTTGGTCGACTCCATGCACACCCACTTGGACACCCCACTCCTTTCTGCTTTTGTGGAGCGATGGCAGCCGGATACTAACTCGTTTCACCTGCCTTTTGGTGAAATGAGCATCATGCTGCACGACGTCCGGGCCATTTTGGACGTTCCAGTGGAGGGAGTCGTGGTCGCTGAGGACCCGGATTCGGACACCTGCCATGGCTCTGCATGTCGATACTTCGATCACCAAGGGCGAACTCATGAGTTCGTTCTGGCAGCGTGGTTCGGTGTCCGAAGCAGCCATTTCGGGGGCATTCAGGGGGAAAGACCGGCCGGCTAGGGATGAGGTGGGTGCCTGGCTGTGGGTGATGCTGGCTACCACATTGTTCGTCGACAAGAGTGGTAGTAGAGTGACCCCCAAGCTCCTGCACGAGGTGCTCGACGGCTTGGATTTGATTGGGGGTTACTCATGGGGATCGGCTACGCTGGCATACATGTACAGACAGCTAGGTATTGCCAGCCGAGGGGACTCTGCACAGATGTCGGGCTGCTTGACTCTTCTACAGTCTTGGATATATGAGTATTTCCCCGATTTTCGACCCCGAGGGCGTCTACCCATCGGTCCTGACTGTCTCGCACGATCACGCTCGTGGAGCGTAGGGAATGCGCCACGGTCAGACGATCGGCTCACAGCCATCCGTCGGCGCCTCGACTGACTCACTGCCTCCGATGTACGTGAAGTTATTTTATTTAAATTTAGTTACCCGTTATTTAAAATAATATAATTATTTTTATAAATGCTCTTATGCAATTGTGAACAGGTGCAATGGTTGCCATACGGCAGCTCCAGCCCAGATGCGATGGAGCCGAGGACTCTTTATAGCGGATTGATTCGATACCGCGATGTCGTCGAGCCGTACTTGCCTGCGCGGTGTCTGCGTCAGCTGGGGTATGTCCAGACTGTCCCTCCCCCTATATACCCGCCAATCAGTGCAGTACTTGCTTGAGAGTCTAGGAACTACAAGGTTGAGCATTCTGAGGCTGGTGCAGTAGGTGCCTGGACCTAGTTCCCGATTTCTGGGACGGTCAACACCGGTATGTTGACCCACACCACACAGGATCGTGGGGGAGGCGACTGAGGATTACCTGCAGTGGTACAGTCGGGTTTCCCATCCGACTCTCATGGGCGAGGAGCTGCTGGACGAGAACGAGGTCCCAACGCGTGTCAATACCGCATATGTAAGTTGGTTACTAAATTTTAATTAATGTTAATTCATTGCAATAATTTTTTTTAATAAATTTTAGTTTTATCTTTTTATTCTTCCATTTTTTTAGTGGGTGGACCGTCTTTTGGGCATTACATCGATTTGGCAGCAGGGATGTGAATGTCCGGTGGCGGCGGAAGTTGAAGAACAGCTGGTTAAGTTTAAGTTGGATTACGACAATGCTCAATAATGATGTAATGAATGTTTTTTTTAATTATTATTGTAAAACATTAAGTTGAATGATTTTTTTTTTTTTTTGCTAAACTTAAGTTGAACTGATTCATTTATTTATTTTTATTTGCTAAACTTAAGTTGAATGAGAAGCGTCACACCACAAGTGAATAATATCGTTCTTTTATTCAAGAAGCTTTTGTTTGAACAATATACCACAATTGCAACCTAGACTGGTACTGATGCTCCCAACCCACAACCGATTAATCTCGGTAACAGAACCACATGTTATGAATAGGCGGTAATGGACAATCATCAGTCAAATCTAAACGAATGTCCTGTACTACGGTACCAAGATGTCAAATGCCAATCTCACGACATGGTCCTCTAGCCGATGATCGTGCAGTGAGAGGCAACACTGTGTTGCTGAATAAGTCGTGCTGCCCACCTTGCGAACCAGAGCTCAAATGAATGACAACCACATTAAATAGGGTCGCAACGGCGTAGAGGTCCTCCGGAACTTCGAACCAGTGAGCCCGTCCACAAGGGCCCTTGCCCCACCTTACGCGATTGAGTCCGACGTCGATATCTCTATAATAGATGTACTCGTACAATTCACGGTGGTTGTCGACCTCATTCGCAATGCTGTCTCTTGCATCTGCCCAGTACTTCTGGTGACCATACACGTGACTCGCGATGACCCGAAATCCGCAGTTACCATCCGCATCCACATTCAGGTAACTCACTATGTAGTCCAACATATGCCAGGGGATACTTTGCCACATTGAAAATCCAAATATATTTGTCGGTCTAAACTCTGCAATAAATATCATAATAATTTGACGTCACAATTTATATAATCATATAAATACTTTAATTAACGCTCAGCCATGTTTAAAAAAAAAATATGTATGACCTTCATCCCCTTGTGACTGTTGAGAAAACGAACTTGTCTGTCCACGCGAAGAAGTGGTCGTACGGCTCGATTTCCGACCTCGCGATCTATTGTTGTACTCAAAAGCAGATGGTTTACGCTTAGTCGAATTAGTTTTCTTGGGACGACCTCGCGGGTCATCCTTAACCTCAGGTTCCGCATAATCCTGTTGGTCTAGGTAAAGATGACTGTACATGAACTGATTCACGTACCGCATCGTCGCGGGATCGCGGGTTTCAACCTCACTCACAAGCGTCTGAAAGAACTCCGCATCTGACCATGCAGCGTGGCTCTCCTGGCTCTGATGACCAGTCCCTACAAGTATACGATAAAAAAGTCAATGAATTAAACCAAATAATGTATTTTAATATAAAATTATAAATTAAACATTAATCTTAAATTACCTGGCTCTAATATCTCGAGCGTTCTCCAGAACTGGTGAATCATTCTGAGATCAATCGGAATGTCGAAATCAACTGCGTTACGGAGAAGACAGGCACAAGGAAGTCTATGAGTGAGCTGCAATACACAGCCGCAGCTAGTGTGAACATCGGTGCCCAACTTGTGCATCCTCGTAAGCTCAGCGTCTAATAAACTCAGACAGTAATGCGAGACCCTCAGTATCACGCTCGCGAAAAGGATTCCCTTATACCGTGTATTCTTCTTAGATCTCGAGGCCTCAAGCGCCGTCCTGATAAT